GACGACTGCGACCTGTTCGGGCTGATAACCCACATCTCGACCAAGATCTCGTTCCAGTCATACCTCAAGCAAGCCTATAAGGAAAATTGGCAAGACCGCTGGGCGAACGTCGAAGAGCTTGTGAACCAGGCAACACAGATGGCTACAGCAGTCGCTAATGGAGAGGAGATATCGGACGATGCCTTGCCAGAGGTAGAGGGGGTTGAGCAACGACCAGACAGTGCCGCCGATGTTCTTTCCAAGTTTCTTGCCAACGTAACGCTATCGAGTGCTGCAGATCAAGAAGGCAGCGAACAAAATCAAGTCACCATCTCCACCATACATGCCGCGAAAGGTCTCGAGTGGCCCGTAGTTTTTATGCCGGCCATATACGACGGGTCAATACCCCACTCCCGAGCAGACGATCATGGTGAAGAGCGAAGGCTGCTGTATGTCGGTATGACACGTGCGCAAGCACTACTTTACCTCAGTTGCCCCGTGAAACAGTCGGGACAGGAGCAAACAACACTTTCTAGATTTATTTCCGATCGCAAGATACAGAAGCTCTTCAGTGAACGAGGACCCGATCTGGCCTTCAAACGCAGCGCCATCACCGATTTAGCTCGAATACTGCGAAGAGAATGCCCCTCCACTGCAGATCTTGACAGCAGTAGGGACATGCTAGAGAGACCTGAGGATGATAGGTACCCAGCCACACGGGAAGAAATTGACGGAGACGATCCGACATGGGGTGCACCTTGGGACGGCAAGTTCAACGGCTCTAGACCAAGCAGCAACGGACCTGGTCAAGGCTTCAAGCGGCGAAAGGTTGACACCCCAAGCTCTTATTCCAAGGAGTCAGTATCGACCACCATGAATCAGACGACCGGCTTCTCGACTGCAGCAACGACAATGCAGAACATGAACGCTGGCTTCACGAGTGCCCGGGATCTGGGTGACGTGCAAGCAATGCAAAGAGAAGCAGAGCGCATTCGAATGCTAGCTAGTGCTCAAGACGCACAGGCTGAAGAAGTAGCCCACAAGGAATCAAAAAAGATAGAAACGAAAAGTGTTCGGGCGAAGCCTGGGAAACCGCGTGCGACAGGTCAAGGTGCTATCACAAGCTTCTTCAAACGATCAAACAGTGCGTTGTCCGAGGAATCAGAGTGTACAATGTCTTCTACGGCCTCGGTTTTGCAGCGCTCGCAGCCCTCTTCATCTAGCAATACGCCGCTGGATGACATTTCCAACGTACAGTCTTTAGCGCCACGTCTACCGCGTCCTTTCCAGCCACTGTCGATACCGGGTCACAAGGTGACAAGCCGGCCGATCCTTAGCAAGCCGAAGAAAAGTGAAGCTGAGGCCGGGATAGAGAATACACGATATGTGCTCTTGTCCAGCTCACCCACGAAGCCCGACGCGGTGGAACGGCCTGGGAAAGGGGAGGAGATTGGTGAACCCGAGAGTCCTATCAAAGGGGCGCCGACATTTACTTCAGGGCCGTCGGGCTTCCGGCCGGCATCAACATTTCACACAACTTCGATGAATCAGGTGCAAAACCAATCAGCGCAACGAAAGACATTGGGTGCAAGAAGGAGCATGCAGCCGTGGAGCGTTAAACACAGTTCCATGCCTAAGCCGCGTCCATCATGAGTCATGTTAAGAAATCGTGGTTGGGTACTTTGTGGATGATTGAGTTGACGGATCGGAGTTACAATCGGAGGCAGTGATCAATCTTCACACGGGTGCAGATATTTGTCTAGACCTAGTTGCTGCTTTCTCTACATGCCATTAATACCTTTCATAGAGCTAAACTCGTGTTCAGGCTTACAGCACCGCAAAGGCACTGCAATACGAAACACTACTATCCTTCACATCCTCTGCTAGGCTGCTTCTCTCATATCGCAAGAACTTGAATACACCGTTTCCCTTGGCTAGCCCCTCGGCCTTTTCCACGGCAGCCATGAACAAGCCGATGGGATGCCTTCCACATACAGTGTTGCCTGTCTTCCGGAGCTGATCGAGGAATTGCCTGTGTGATCCGCTCTCCACTGCATTAATACTCTCATGGTCGACGGCTGCAATGCTCTCGTGAATAGGATAGGAATTTGGCACGCGGGAGCTCGACTTTAGATGGGTTGCTGGTGAGCCATCGGCGGGCTGGTAGTATGTGTAGCGGAAGCGAGAGCCCCAATGACAGAAATCGGACGAAATAACGAAGATGTTGGCTGGGTCGGCCAGGTAGGGCGCGAGAAGGGAACCATATCGGGTCTCGGCAGCTGAGTCCGTGTTGCCGACCATGATGGGAATCAGCGGCACGGATGCCGGATCGTTCTGGAAGCTCTGGTTCTTCAGCTGCAACATCTTGTAGATGTAGGGCAGATGCATTTCTAAACTGTGTTCGTCCTCGTCTGTGCTCTTGGACATGATGTCCAGATGCCATGCTTGCTGGATCTCCTTGACAAGCTCTGTGTCTACGCTGAGGTCGCCGAGAGGTGTGCGGTACTTGTCGCAGCCCGTTGTTGCGGCGCCTGTGAGATAGTAGTGATGCGAGGGGCCGAGCAAGAAGACGCGTTTACTATGGGCAGTCAGTGTATATATGGAGGCAACTAGCTGGAGAAGACGCTTGACGCACGCATTTGTCCAGTCGGCGCTTTTGTAGGCCCAGGCAGCGGCAGGCCCAGAGTATGAGTATCCGGCGTGCCTGATTGTCCATGAGCCCTCACATCCTCATGACAGCTTCTTCAGGGTGCATACGGGGCAACGATGGCTCGTGCATTGGGAGTTGGTATCAACACCTCCCCTTGTTGCGACGAGGCCGCACCGATGGGCGTAGTCGAGTTGGGCACTGCTTGGAGCCAGCCGTCAAGTTGCTGTGAGAGCATCTGGCCATCGTCTGTATACCATGAACCGGCATGAGAAGGCTTGCGGGTGACCATTCTGCGCAGGCGTATCGATCAATTCAAGCCGAAGGACCTCAAGACTGTATCTCGTGACGATGTTGTGAGGTTGTTTGGAGGAGTAGCGGTTGGCGTGGTGGGCGCGAGTGCGGGGCATGAGCTCCCTGCTTCGTGTGACCGACGTAATGGCCCCGATAATCCTCAGGGCACGCAGGGCAACAGCATGCCAAATGCAGGCCCGGATGCACGTGCCATTGTCTTGGAATTCACATCTGCAGAAGAAGCAGACGTAATTCAGATGCCAAGCCGTGTAACAAGGAGAAGCGCGTTGGTTGGGGGTGAGGGAAGGGTCACCTCTGGCAACTCGACCGTTCGGCTCGGCACGCGCGACGCGCTCGCGACTTGGGCTCGCGTGTTCCCCGGTCAGCCGCTTTGCATCATCATCAACCCCGTATTGTTCCATGGTGCTTTCCCCTCTGCACATTGCTTGCTCCTGCCCGTGAACAACCACCGGAACCCTCTTCACGCCTTTATCGAGCCCCATTTCTGCAACCATGGGTTTCAAACGCAAGCAATCCTTCGATGACTCGCACCTCTCCATGCTCAGCTCAGGCGCCAACTCCACCCCCGACGTGCAATCGCCAATATGTTTGTCAAAGACCCAGGATGGAATGATGGATTTGGATGCGAGTTTGCGATCAAACGCTTGGGATTTCGCGAGCGCGAGCCGCGTCAAAAGTAGCGACTGGGGAAACCGGACGCGTAAAAGGGTGCGCGACGACAGGCCGGATGAGCATGCAATACATGGTGCGTTACTTCCCTATTTCTGGCACACATCATATACTAACATGCTATAGAACATACCCTTAACAAGCTCTTTTCCGCTCAGCGCAATTCTCCCCACATCTCAACCACTCCGTCCGACACCCAAACAATCCACAATTCAACCATTATCCCATGGAAGCCCCAGAAGTCAACACTTCATTCCTTTTGGAAACAATTGCCTGCCCCACCTGTCCAGCCTATCTTCTCTGTTTCTGTACAACCCAACCAGACCTCTTCAGACGGGCCTCGCTGTGAAGACTGTGATACAGTACTGTCCAGTGAGGACGATGCCATGGACGTGGATATGGACTTGGAAGGGGCTGTCGAGGGCAGTTCATTCGCCTGTAATGACTGCGGGAGAAAGGTTTGTGGAGTTTGTGCCGTCGTCGCATCCACAAGACATTGTTTGCAGTGCGCGACCACAGCCCGGAATTCGAGGCGGTGGTGGTGAGGGAGAAGGTTAGGCTTTGACCATCCATCTGAGTACAAGCGGCGTTTAATATGGGTTCAATGGACAGCGTGATATCCCTAGCATCAACATATAGCAAGGCGCACCCGGCGGTTAGTAGAGGCCGCGTGAATCCTCGAGCAATTTACACAATTAATCATCACTACATCACTAGAACTAGGAACCAGCAAATGTCGATAGAAAACAATAGACTTCTCCAAGAAAGACGATACTACCCGCAACACGTCTGCCAACCACCACAACCACCACAAAAATAAATCATTAAAATAATCCACTGGGCTCAACAACCCCTGTGCACTCTAGATGACCAAAATCAAAAAAAAATGAACTAAAGGTCGTGCCCGGGTTCTTCTCGTGGTCAGGAACAGAACTTATTGAAGGCATCTGGATATGTCTTACCGAACCGGGGTTATCAGAATATTGAGACATCAAAATCTGAAGTGATAACCACTACCTGGAATCGAATGAGCGCATGCTTAGAGTCAGTGCTTTCATGAATGAACGTACACTACACAACCGATGTTGGACACAAATGGTGCAATATGACAGCTAACGCCATTTTGATACTCATATCTCAGGCCACAATTTCCCGCATGTGTTGCAAAAAGACATAGTCGCTCACATCCATTGTAATCTTGGAGCTGCCGCTAAACGCATGACGCATAGACTCGTACGAATCCCCATCGAGGTGGGGCATACTACCTTGGAGCCCCTAAAAGAGGGGCACATTTTCACCGACTCCGGCAAAATTCCCCCACCAAAATAATAGTCGGCAAACGAGGCCTACACGTCCGTTACATTAGCAAAAAGATGGTTCTGGGCGATGTTACGAGCGGGGAGGATCGAACTCCCGACCTTCTGCGCTTGACATCTTGTTGGATGTAAAGCAGACATCATAACCACTAGACTACGCTCGCTAGAGATCTTTGATGGAAATTTTTGAATTCTTTTTGCCTATAATCAGCATTATACACAAGCCGACAGGTTGCATGTAGGGGATTGAGCTGAATCAGCTGGTGGACTTGGGGGCATTCTGGCAGCGGGGTTGGTGGGACGCAGACAGAATAGAAAATCTAGATCACATCATGGGATGCCAAAGGACAAAAGCAGAGACTCACGCTGCAGCAAAAGCGTTAGTCTGTTATCAATCAATTGCTTGGCTTGAATAGACTCACATTGCGAGGCGCCCGTAGGCTTCATCTTAGGGTCTTGCTAGCATGTATATAGCAATTGCAAAGAAGATCAAATCTGACAACGAATCTCTATCAAATGCTGTGGCTTGGCCAAATGACATGATCGTAATGTATAGGCGCCCGAGCAGGTTCGGAGCATACGCATCCACGGGGTTGATGTACCGTCATAGCCGCATGACACCGTTAACTCCGATCAACCTCAGGCTAACCACACAGCCCGTCTCACCAGCAACTGACACCAGCACTTCTCACCATGTCGCATACTCTTCTTACAAAAGCGCCTTCGCTGCGCATCGTAGCGCAACGCTCAGTTCCACGTCAATTTCGAGCGTCGTACCATAGGCAGTCGTCTCCGAAGATGGCGTCCGGGGCAGGACCCATCCGCACTCTGCTCCGCCAGACCACCCTTCGCGCAAGCGCCATTGCAGCACAGCGCACGTCATACCCCGCGTCGCAACAATTCTCGTCCCAAGCATACACACAGCAGCGTTCGCGCTCTCCCTCGCCTCCTCCGCCCTACCAGGCGCGCAACACCTCCCTGCTCTCATCGCCGGGGCAATGGACACGCTTTAGCTCGCCGTACAGTACCCTCTCCTCTGTTCGCACATTTACCTCATCGTCACGCGCAAAGCTCGCATCTTCTACCTCGCAAGCCCCAACATCGCTATCTCCAGAGTCGCAACAGGCGGTTGACGCAGCGATCGAGGAGATCCAGGAAATGTACGGTACCGCCAAGGACGAGTTTGAGATTGCATCTGAAGAAAGCGAGAAAAACACAACATACGCTCCCGATGACCGGGCTGCCGCAAGAGAAGAACTGGATAAATTACTGGAATATTACAAAGGCGTTGTTGAGGGCGAGGACCGTGTAGTTGCGGATGAGGTGAAGAGGAGGGTGGGGCAGAGAATTCGGGAGCTGGAGCATGCCGTTCTCGCTATGGAAGAGGCTGCTACCCACGGAGATTAGATGTTTTTTTTTTGAATTAGCTTTGCTTCGCCTGAAGGTATTCGCCATACTATCATGGCTTGCACCACTCACATTGCGCAGAGCGGATAGCGCGTATGATTTTCCCCCATGTTCTACTCTAGCTCATGTACCATATGTACAGCATATATCGAACCATCTTTTCAACAACAGCACGTCAATCACGATGGCTCATTGCAGTTTTCGATTTCGAATCCACATGTGAAAAGGTGGTGCGTCACGATTTAAAAAGAAAAAAAAAACGTTGTAGTCACTCACAAAATCTTTAACACATCATGCTGTCAGTAAATACGACCACGAAAGCTCACGCGCTGAGAAGGCGGTTTATGTGAAGGATTTCAGCGTTTGGGGGATGTTCCTAAGTTTCGACGTGAAGGTTTGAGCAGCCCTTTAGTTCCCAGGAATCAGGCTTGAATTAAAGCCCATGTATGGTTGTCGATCTTGCTGCATTGTGAAACATTTCGACTTACCTAGGTCATCCTATTTCTCATCCACTGTCTTTATCATGGTAGGAACTGGCATTTGGCCTGCGAACATCGAACTCGTTATCTTGCCTTTCTTCATTACATTTTCTATAGTGTGAACAAGAGTGTGGAGAAAGAACAAGGAACACAAATTTGCTCTTGTTAACGACTCAACTGCTGTTAGTTCTAACAAACATCTATTAACTGAGGACTACTACGGAGGACTGACTCCTCGTAGTTGGGGAGACATAACTGGTGGTACTCACCGCAACGCTTTGTAAGCGGTCTTTTTATTCCTTGGATCAATGGTTTCATGCTGGTTGCGAACTCTCATCAGTCCTCGTAGTATCTTATGCTGGGTATCTTGAGAAAGACATCCCGAAGGGAGCTATTTAACGAAGTTGATGTTCTGTTCGCAAGAACTCTCCAACTTCAATTGGGTTGTAGCCAGCTTTTTACTAACAAAATGTTGTTGAAGAACAAGTTCCTTAGGTCTCCGTATATCGACTTCTCAAGTCGTCAAAAAAAATGACACTCAGACCCAAAGTTCATGCACAAAGATTTCGAGGGACTGTTGTAATCGCAGTGTCAAAGACGCTTTGGTAAGCCATCTGTCACGAATTGTGGATGAATTTCGTCATTTCAGCACCAAGGAAGAAGCTGTATGGCTAATGCTCTAGTGTCAAGATTGAGGCCGACATAGCACCAAGCGCCCTGCGTATGGAATTGAAAAGTAGCAATCTTTGGATATCAAGTGCGTGCTGTGAATGACAATGACACAAACTAAGCGAAGGAAAGGGGTATATGTAGTCAACCAGTCTAAACAACGTAGAAAGCGAAGCATGCATATAAAAAGCGTGAAAACACGGCCGCGAAAAGACTTGAAACAGAATTCGTACACAAAACAATACCTGTATTGGCCTTGATTTGGGAATGGAGTAAACAATGCTTGAAGGTGAAGTATAGTGGTTACATGTTGGCCATAAATGTGACAAATGGAGAAATATCAGTACACTACTTCCTCTCGCGCATCTCTCCATCTACGGGCTTTACACTCGTACTGCCTTCGAGGGGAGGGATGTAGCCTAGCTGCTTCTCTGCGTTTTCACCTGCAGGGGTGTAAGGCGTGAAGCCTCCTTCTGGCGACGACTGCCACTTTGCCATATCCTTCTTCAGTTGTTCCAATTCTTTCTGGAAACGATTCCCAAAGACGTCAATGTAGTAGGTGGCGCCATTGTACACACTCCAAATGAAGACGATGGTGAGAAACAGACCGCTAGGCCAACGGTACCAGAACCATACAGGGCAGGGAAGCATGGTCAGGGCAGCGTAGCTGTACTGAATGAACATGAAAGCGGGCTCTTGGAGAAAGTCGGGAAGCGAGAGGACGATTTTACCAATCCAGGTCTTGGCATAGGACTTTCGCAGCCACGTGAAGCTTGTTGGTCGGCCAGCAGCAATCTTATCGCGGCGGCGTACCGTGATGAGGAGGTGGTAGGATAATTGCCAAACTGCATAGGGGCAGGTAGCCCAGACCATCATCTGGAAGAGGCTGTAGTGATGGGGAGAAGTTGGGTCCGAATGGCGAGTGTTGTATATGGCGGGATAGTGTTCTTGTTGGTATTCGGGCGAGAGCAGATGTACGAGACAGTGCAAAGTGACACAGGGCATGATGTGGATGAAGAGACTGCAGAAGTGAGTAGGTGGGTGATGGTATATGGGCAGTGTACTTACCTCACGACCTTGTCCATGCTGTGGAAGACCAGAGAGTTCCGCCACATGATGATTGCGACGGCATTGTTTCCCATGCAGAGACAGTATGTTGCAATGAAGAGTCGCTTCGAGTGGGGAAAGACCCAGATTGTGAGGACCATGAGGATGTTGACAAAGTAGCAGAGGTCGGCCAAGAAGTAGTGGTAGCCCTTCTTGTGGTAGGTGATGAAGCGGATGGGCATGAAGTAGAGCAGCTGGGCAGTATACCAGTGGGGGAACCAGTCGGGGTGGCATCCAACCAGGTAGCCCGAGACGAAGATGTTCATGACAGCGGCGATGAAGGAGGCCTTTTCGCGCGCGGTGACAGTGAGCGACTCCTTCCAGCGGGTGTTGAGACGGTCGACGGAATGGCGCATGCGCTTCTTGTATTTGTCGAGCTGCTCGGCTTCGGTGGGCACTCTGCGACGCCATTCTTCGACGACGCGGTCTCTTGTGATGCCCCTGTTCTTTGCTTGGTTCTTGATCTTCTCCGTCTGATTTGATATGGAACTCTGGATCTTTTCGATGCGCTGCGCGAGTGCGAGATTCTCCACGAAGTCGAACATGGTGAGCTTCTCGACGGGCGGGAAGAAAGCGGCATCTTCGTTGTCGGAATCGTCATGGTAGGAGCTGTTGGAGAAGGAGGCGGAGCGGGAGAGGCCCGGTGTCGAGAGTGGCTGATTTGCGGATGAAGAAGTGGGCTCGTCGAGGAGCGCAGAGCCAGGGTGAGTAGAGTGGGCAGGCAGAGGAGGCGTCTCCAGGTCGGAAGCTCCCAACTGTGGCTCTGACGTGGATTTGGGCACACGGCCCACATGGCCGTCTGGGTCGGGGGCCGACATTTGGGGCACTTCTTCGTCTTCTTCTTCGTCTTCTTCTTCGTCTTCTTCTTCGTCTTCTTCTTCGTCTACTATCTCAAGCCTTGGCGGCGTTCGGCCGTGGACAGGTCGTTTCAAGCGATGTGGGCATGAGCCTGTAGTCGCCGTGGGTTGTTAGCTGCCGTGTGCGGAAGAGTGTGGCGATGGCCCATGGTAGAGAGAGAGCAAGGCGGAGCAGGAGAGGGCCTCACAAGGAAAGTGCGTGCAGCGGTAGAGGGCAGTCTGGGTCAGATGTAGTCAGACCCTACGCTCTCATGACAAGACGGCTGATTGGCGGGGCTTCAGCAACGCTCTGGCTCAACTGCCCCAAGGCTCCGGCGGGAAAAAGATCGTGGGTGGATACTGGGTGTTGATTGGCAAGCTTCACAGCGTCATGGCGCGCATGGGCTGTATTCGAGGGCAAGAGGTCACGGGGTCACGAGGTCGCGAGGTCACGAGGTAGGGCGGCGCGCGTGTGTTCCTGGGACGAAAAGGGTATTGCAGGGTGAATGTATGTACAGAGAAGACGGTGTAGACGACGTGGTGGACAGGGCCCTGGCATTCGGCCCTGGTTTCGTCACTGTGGGCCACAGGCACATGTGCCGCCCTGGTGGCTGCTGTCCTTGGGCTAGCTACGGCGGGCGCTTTGACGCCTGCCCGACGCGACTGC